ATTTCTCTCATCATTACACTCACAAGTTTCCTCTTCACTAATCTATAATAATTTATAGATTATCTCCACTCGTACTAACACTAATTTGATGTTTCTTTCGTTGAAAGTTATTGAATTTTGCCAATAATTAGTTATTTCATATTTTTGATATTTCTTACTTCGTTATGAATTACGATAGCTATTTCTCTTCGTTCTTGGAACTAGAACATTTATTGTTCATTGCTCTTATAATTTCTCGTTAGTCAAGAATTTCTTCAACAGTTTACGAAAATGCAGTGAATGATTTCAGTTTTGTAAGTGGTAGTGTGTTATTGAAGGCTTCAAAGAGTGAGTCACATACACCTGCTGGATTGTTTGAGACTACTGAAAAATTCCAACAGCTGTGAGATTCTCTTTTCTCTGTTCACTGAGGATGGCAAATACAACAGGACTATAAAAACTACATGCATCTATTACGAACAAAAAAAGAGCTACTGAGTCATACTCAAGTTATGCAGCTTTTACTTCGAATTTCGCCCTATTTTTTGAAGCTAAAGATGTCTGGAATTCAAATGCGAGGTGCTTGAAAGAATAACGGCACGTAAAGCAATGTTTCACTGTACATTTTGCTTTCAAGTTGCAAAGTTCGTAAAGAATATTACAGTTGAACTAGCTAGGTCATTTGATATGTGACACAAAAGATGAGAAGCATCGTCATTATAATGAGCAAACAAGTATTTTTTGTCTGTAATAGATTCAACTAGTTTATAATGCAATGGTCGGTTTTCGGTTTTGAAAAATTTCTGCAGTTTGTTCTGCCATTTATTTCACTATCAGCCATCGCATGTTACTTTTAGTTTAGCTTCCTTTCATGTGGCAATATAACAAATTCTCATCCAGATTGACTTCCAAAGTTTCCTCATAAGTCATTTGCTCATAAAAAATTTAACATTGAAAGTATGTGTTCTACCATTTATTCTTATCAAGGAATAACTGATGTACATAGGTACGAAATCTTTTATTGACGTCAACACACAGATATATGCGAATTCTTTTTCTTCACTGATCACAAGTTCCATATGGGTAATTTTGAATTAAAATACGCGTGCTTTAAAAGATTCCATGAGGTAAGAATAGACTTATTAGTTGTTATCATGACATGAGGTATATCAGGGTTATAAAATAAAGTGTCATGTATACAGGGTTGTGGTACATGTCGAAAACAGATTATTTCATTGTTCTGATATTCCATTCTGGACGTTAGTTCTTATATCTTGTGGTCAACCTGTCTACATAATAACTAGTAGCGATATTTGTTCACTGCAGTAGAAATTTGGTGTGAAAGATTGAAAAAATTTTTGTTAGTATTTGTTGAAAGATGCATTTTATAGAAGTAAAACTATGGCGATAAAAATGGAAAATTCGAACTTTAATGAAAAACGTGCAAAACGTATGGAAGTATAGAATTGTAAGTGTAGGAAAGTTCTATGTTTTTTGTTTTCTTTCTTATTCAGTAAATTCGCAAGTTGTAACAGACATCCTGGTTTTTAAGTTTTTCTATGAGGAAGTAATGGTTCTAAATTAAACAAGGAATTGTAATTCTGTTTAGTATCGTTTCTTTAGAAGTCCCTTTATTGTTTTTTCCATGAGATTCTCGACACTGAGTTTCAAGAAGCGATTTGATTGACTGAATTCATTGCAGAAGAGGAAGTAACTGCCGTTGCCTCCTTTTTCTTCATAATTTTTTAATTTCTATTTCTCGTGTTTTCGTTATGAATGAATACTTTCATAACTGGCTTATCTAAAGAAATAAGCATTTTCTTTTATATAGTCGGTTCAGATAGAAACAGTTCGTTAACCAAAGGGGTCCAAATTACTCTGCAAATGTGGACAAAAAGCCCTAGACAGAATGAATGATCTTTTATAGCCAAAAAAGATGCTTTCTTTGTTCCCTCTTTAAATCAAACTTATATAAATGAATAAATAAAGAAATGATTAATTTATTTATTTATATATAATTAGTTGAACAATGAAACTAGTTGCTTTTCAGTTAAGTTGCAGTACAAGAGAAGAAAGTAAACTTAGAAAAGAAAAAACAAGAAATCATCTATGGAATTAATACTTCATTTTTCCTTGCAAATGCGTAATGTTTGCACCAAATTTTTCTCGATTGATAGTTTGCATTTCGTTACTAGCCAGTGTTTGAAAAGCTAGTGAAGAGAGTATATATTTTGAAGACGGCTAGTTGCTTATAATAATTGTTCTTGCTATTGAGGGATGCGAGAAGGATATTTGAACTGTTGGTATGTCATCACAGGAAACAGATAGTAAGGAGTTTTTGAAAGCTGAAGAAATATATAGTAAAATGGCAACTTAGAGCAAGGAATGGAAAGAGTAAATCGTTGATCGTTAATTGTCTGCTAAAGCTCATAGCCTAGACTACTTCGTGTCTTTTTCAGCAGCAAAAGCAGCTTCCGGCTGACAGCTCTCCTTCATCTTTGCTTTTTTCACCACTTCTCTTCCCATTTCAAGAAGAAAAAAGCTAAAAACGATGGACGACTCCAGGAATAGACAAGTTCTAGCCAGAAAGCGCTTTCGTCACTCGATGTTGAGCTGAAGAAGAACTCCTGATGTCATCGTCTTGAGATTGAGCAATTTTCCGTATTCCTAGGACTGACCAAAAGGGCACATGTTAATGGTCATATTCTTATATATATATATAAAGTATAAACTCACGCAAACATTTTTAGATATATATAAATATACTTGCACATCTATGTATGCTGGAAGAAAGGAAAACAGGGAAATGAAGAGTGGGCTTTCATGCCGAGCAACATCATTTATGTCCCCTTTCTTACATTCTCGCTTTGCGTCTTCACCTTATACTTTCGTCATAAATCTATTTGTTACATCATTTATTTCTTTTTTAAAACATAATTTACGCGTCTGCTATCTTTGATTTATTCACGTTCATTAATTACATAATTAAAAAGCTTCTGAAAGACTAATGAAACCTCATTCCTTGTTTTCATGTAACATGTACCTAGTTTGTCGTCCTTCACTCAGTATGACTGAGTAATGCAGTATTTGAACAGTCATTGATTGAACAGAACTCTCATGAAGGAAAAGGAATTACATTAGTAAGCTAATATGCAACTCACTAGTATTAAATTATTATCCATAAAATAACATTTGTTTCCTGACTATACATCATGAATGTAGCATTAAATTCACTCTACGTTGTACAGTTTTTTATTCTGCGTGCAATTTTTATTCTTTAATTGCATGATGTGTTAATTCCTTGAGCTATGTAATTTGCATTTGTCGTCACATTTGCACATCGGAAGATTATCTTACTTTTGCACTGCCATAAATCATTACAGGACCGAATGTCTTCAAATTCGGCTTGCATCTATAAAGTTTTTGCATGTAAGCCAATGTTTGCAGTAACTGACTAATAATGCATTTCTTCAGTAGTATTATGAGCATTACAAAACTCATACTCTAGTGCATCAGAAATCGAAAATAGTTTCCGTAGTGTGTTCATGTGATTCACTGCTTTTGTTTCACATTCTATTTTGCTGAAAGAAAATAACACTCTAAAACTATTTCATTTATTTCAAAACTTTTTAGTGCTGCTGCTTTTAAGAAATGCATATTTGAGCTAGTTTAAAAAAATTTTTGTGGTTGTAGATTAAATCCAGTTTCAATATCACATTATAAATTGTATTAGATGATTGAAATCGAGATATGCGCTTCATTAATTACTCTGCAGCTAGTTGTTTAGTATCCGAAAATATGTATTGTTGATGGAGTAATTATAATGAAACATTTATATGTTATGGGATAAAAAAGTTATTTGTTGTATTCTTCGCTAATTTTAGGTACAACAGACAGCAATGTTTTATTTGTTTTAAAATCTTTTGGTTTGTAGATATATTTATGATATGTTACATCAGTCTGTAGAATGAGGTTGTGATTACTTTATGCAACAGGAGTTTCAATTTTTGAAATGATTTACGGTTTCGAAAAAGGAGCAAACTTGTATTTATATTTGCTTCAGAGAGCAAATACATGAAATGATGTAAAGAAATGTTTTTTCGGAAAGTTATTGTAATAAGCTGTGTGTTTGTCTGCCAATTCTCAATATATGAATCATGGATAGAGAAAGTGATAATGGAAAGTCAGAAGTGTCTTTTCACTTTTATCTTGCTTTTAGAAAGTGATTCGTAGCCACGAAAAAAAGATAGCAAATCAGTTTTTTTTTTGATGGAAGGAGAATAAATAAGTGAAAGTTTTGCATGATCGAAAAAAGCTGAGGTGAGGTGAAATCGATGAAAACTCTTTAGTTTGAAAACATGAGCCTAAAAAGGATGCAATTTATTTATGAAGAAAAATAAAATTGTGTTCTTTTCGTTATAACTTGTTACTATTTTGATGTTAATTTCAAAACTTCTGCATCATAATGTAAATGTTTGAACGTTTGACGGAATCAAATGAATATTATGTAATATAAATATGTTGCTCATTATGTACTGTAGTTTTTAGAATTAGGAAGCGCTTTTAGAACTCATTATTTCTGTTTTCTGCCACTGATTTCCTACAAACTCATAATTCCAGGTGTGATGACACTTCATCCATTCTGCATTTTAAAATGCTTTTTGTAAACACTATTTCACTTATGAAGTGCTGTGGATATGAGAGAAGTTATTGTCCATCAGAGGTCCAATAATAAGCTTGGGCATTGGTAATACGGCAATCATATTCGCCTTTGGCATCGATAGGCAAACTATTTTTACACAGGCTGCTTTATAGTTCCATACGTATATATATTTATATATATGTAGAGGCATTTTTACTGTTAACACTCGCAGATTTGAAGTTATTTTCTACAAAAATTCTGTTTTGGCAATATACCAGTTCAAATATATGTGTGTATTATTATCTATGCACATCTATCCGTCAACTAGTAGATCAACTGTTGGTGGTTAGTACTCGGTAATCTTATAAGCCTGGAAGGCATGGTTGCCCAAGACGTAAAACTTGAGCACGATCGTAGACAGAACATGTTTGGGCAAAATCCAAATGTAAGTTCCTGTTTTCTTGTATAAAAAAATAAACTCCATGAGCTTACTTTCATTCTTTCAGCAACTTTAATTTTCAGAGAAAAGTTTTCAATAGAAAGCTGAGAAGTTTTTTTTTTAATATTTATAGTTTGCGACGTCGTCTGTTTGGCCTCAACAGAGTTCTGTGCAAAGTTCAGGAGCATCCTTGGCAGTTCAACCTGCAGTCATTGAAAGTGGCTCGTTTTTAAATGCTCAACTCCAAGAATCCACTGATGCTTATTCCTCAAACATGTCTTTCTCTAATAAGTATCCTCTTTTTATTTTTCTTAACTTGTTAGTCATGTGAAGTTGGATATAAAAGCAATCCAGAGGGGCCTGCTTTTAAACATTTAATGTTCTCCACACCATGACCGAATATGGCAATGCTAGCGGCATCACAGTGGTTGTTAAATAATCGTTTATCTACAGTAGTAAAGATAAAGCTCATGTCACTATTGCGATTAGCAAATCCATTTGCTGAATTATCTCAAATGATCAGACCGGGTCGACGACAAATTTAGTTAGAAATTCTTAACAAATAAATAATTTCCAGAGGTGGATAGGAAAAAAAATACTATGAATCAGCAAAACTTTTCTATCTTTCCGCAATCTATGCACAGTTAAAATTTTATCAAGAGCAGCTCTTTCGTAAACGTATGCCTGTCTAACATTCATATTCAGAAGTTACAGGTGAAGTTATTTTATTTTTTAATTCCTTGCAAACATGAAATCAAAAATGTGGCGTAAGATATTGCCAGATTTAAATTGAAAATGGATTTTTCCTGCAGTTCCGGCCTGCCTACTCAAGGACAAATGCGCTTTCATATAGCTGATCATATTCCTTCCACTTCTTCTCAAAATACTGTGTCAGACAGTAGTATCGTCACACATCATCATCAACCTTGTACGGTGAGCATCGTTCAAAACCACTCTACGCAACATGAATCTTCTACTTCTCCACTGAGGAAGTTAAGCATTGATTTAATCAAGACCTACAAAGGCATTAATGAGGTTTGGTTTTTTTTTATTCTGTGAATTTTTGATGATCAAAAAAATGACTTTTATAGAAGTGTCTGATCCGCTTGCTGAAAAGAGTACAGTACTGTAAGCTTTTGGATTTTTATAAGAAGTTTTTGTTGTTATATGACTTTGTAATTATGAAAATGAAGTTAAAATTAAAAATTCTTTCAAGAGTTATTATGCGCGAAAGGCGAAAAGACGGCATGAACAAGAGCAGCATAATCCTCACGGACTCCATCCAGCTCCTTTGTCTGAGCATCATCATGCTGCTCCGCCACCTAAACAACCTATTTCACTGAACCAGCAGGTAATCATGCACTCTTTTATCGTTTCATATTTGTCTTGTTCACTAAAAGTTTTTCGTTCCTTTCTTTTAAAAGCTTAATTTTTTGCAAAATGCAGGTTGTTACAAATTTAATGCAACAAGATCATTCTCACCACATACAGCAGCACTCGTTGTTTTCGCTGGATCCTACTGTCTCTACACTCTCTCACCAGTTAAGAACGCAGGTAACATTATATATGCGATATTAAATTTTCAGCCATATCTGTTTCATAAAATTGAAATTTTTATAAAATTTAATTGTAAGTTAAAACCACCTAAAATTGTAAAGTAATGTTGCTAAAAAGGTAGTTAATGCAGGTCGTTGAAAACCCTTGCTTGGGAACTCAAAATGATGGCTATGACGATGAAAACCATGACTACATCATCCATATCGGTGAACTGTTCAACAATAGGTTAAATTTTTGTTATTTGAAATGATAGGTTGCACTTGCGAAGTGGGTGCGATATTTACTTACTTGCGTAGTTTTACAATATGTTCGAATGTAGATCTTTTTTATTATAGTAATTATTTACGGAGAATATTGTCAACTTCATTCTTGATATTAAATTATTTAATGCAACGGGCAGCGCAGTCACTCAGAGAATAAAACAATGAAAGCAAAAGCTAAAATCTTGTGGTCCTTTATTGTAGTCCTTTTTTTATTTGCTATGAACTCTCTTATTTCTCTCAAAGTGAATTCAGTTTGTCTTTAACACAGAAATCATTGCTAGAATAAGAATCTTGTTATGATAGATTGGGGTATTAGTTAAACATAATATGAGTTTTACAACTTTTATTAATAGCAGATAGTTTTAGATATCAGATAGCATGTCATCTCGGAAAAGGTTCATTTGGACAAGTTGCTCGGGCATATGACACTCTGGAACAACAAGATGTTGCTATAAAGATCATAAAAAATAAGAAGCCATTTTATGATCAGGCCCAAATTGAGATTCAGTTGCTGGAAATGATGAATAGTCATGAATCTGAAAGTAGACACTATGTTGGTATGTTGAATGGTTTTTTAATATTGATAATGTGAATTTAAATTAATTGTGTTTCAAAGTTCAGAACGTTTCTTGAAAAAGCCTACTTCTGGCTCAGAAATAACATATGGGATTTATAATAGTAAAATTATTTGTGTTTCATAGCTATAATTTTTTACCGATTTCAGTGAAATTAAAGACTCACTTCATGTGGCGTAATCATTTGTGCCTTGTTTTTGAGCTTCTTTCATACAACCTGTATGATTTATTAAGAAATACGGATTTTCATGGTGTGTCTCTTAATCTGACAAGAAAATTTGGACAGCAGGTGCGGTTACTTGCAAATTTTGACTGAGTCATTGATTTATATAAAAAATTAAAAAAGCGTAAATTTTCAATGAATACATGTAGAAAAGTACATACGTTTTTTGCATATTGTGCTTCATTTCTATTGAGAACACATTCTTCATTACTGTTTTAAATATATGATAACTCAACTTTATTAACATTCTTTTTGTGATATTGAATCTATTACCGTCTGGTAGCACGTCTTCATTAACTTTCATATAAGGGGGAGTAATCAAATTTCGGAACATTGGGCTCTGATCCTCAACATAAACTACGTTCTCTCAGAATTTAGCTCTTTTGCTGTTTTCATTAATTACTGTTGTTGATACTGATGATAATACAAATTGAAGTAAATAGAGTATAATAAAATAATTTCGATGTTCTTAATAATCATAATTCTTCAACATTCCCAATTCTGATACTGTTTGAAATTTGTTCTGGTATCGAATTCTTTGTTTCAGTTAGCCAATACATTGTTATTTCTTTCATCGCCACAGCTGAGCATTATTCACTGCGATTTAAAACCTGAAAATGTTTTACTGTGTAATCCAAAGCGTTCCGCAATCAAAATAATTGATTTTGGCTCATCATGTCAGCTTGGCCGTAGAATCTATCAATACATACAATCAAGATTTTATCGCTCACCTGAAATCCTACTAGGGTTGCAGTATGATTCTGCCATTGATATGTGGTCTTTGGGTATGTCATATTTTTTAATTTACTATTTAATGTCTGCTTAATCATCGCTAATATAATTCATGTCAACAGTGCAGTTATATATTGCAAGGAATATCAATCTTTCACTTCATTAAATTTTGAGTTTTCTTTTTGCACTAGATAAAAATTTAACTGGTATATCTATATGCTGGTAAAAGGCATATGAAGTTTCAGGATGTATATTGGTTGAAATGCATACTGGTGAGGCGTTGTTTGCTGGTACCTGTGAGCATGATCAAATGATGCGTATAATAGAAGTATTGGGTATGCCTCCACGACATATGATTGAAGCAGCATCGCCTCAAAAAAGGAACAAATTTTTTGAAAAAAACGAAGGTTATTAATTTTGTTATGTTAACCATCAGTTTTTCATTTGATATCATTCCAGTACAGTAACACTAAAAATGACTGCTTATATATGAAAATGAGCGCTTCTTATATATATATATATATATATATATAT